GAGCTAAGCTGGAGAACTTGGACTAGGAACCAAAATTACCTGGGGGTAAAGTAGGAAATAGCTAGTTTGGCTCATTTGGCTGAAGATAGAATGGGTCATCTTTGGAGTTGCCTTTTTTCATTGACTGAAGCAGAAGCCTAGTTTAATTGCAAATTCAAAAAAATTAAAAAAAAGAAAACAAAAACTAGTCTAGGTGACTAACTTCAAAAGGCAAGGAGAGGGCTAATTGTATGGAGGCAGGGATTGTGGACAGTATGTAAGGAGTATTTATTGAAAAATCAAGGATATTTTTGTGAGTTAAAGAGGAAAATGATCCATATTTCATTTACAAGTAAAGGTAGTAATAAGTGATTCATGCTTTTAAGGGTAAGTTCTTCCAAAATTTCAAGTTTAACTAACTAACTAATGTATCTTCTCACTATTCCAGTTTCCTTTTAGGACAGAGAGAAATATATCCGGTAAAAATACAAAGCAGTGGGAAATGAAAAAAGTCAATTTAAAAATCAATCCTCCCTGATTTTTTCTATCAACTTCCCTTAGAAATAACACACAGAATTTTTATAACAGAAATGGATCATAAAAAAATCTCAGTGTGTTCAATTATTTATTTTATGCTTTTGAAAACACTTTGGGGTAATGGGTTTCACTTTTTTACCTTTTACATACCTCATTCTTTCACAGAGAAAAATAGAAACCTTTCAGAAATGGAAGATGATAGTGGTTTTTTGGTTTTGTTCATACTTGTTCTTGTGAGTTGGTACTGTTCTCAAAAATGCACACGATGGGCCTAAAGCCATGGTAAACTTAATACACTGTAAGAGGTGATTTTTAATACACTGATTCCTATACAGAACTAAATGTTTATATGATATAAGGACTTTGTGGAGATTTAAACCAGAAAGTTAATTTATTTTACACGAGATTTTGGAAAGCAAAGTATAGAAGGAAAGGTTTGGGAGCATTAAACCAATGATGGAATCAATTGTAATAGTCAATGAAAATGTAATTGGTCCCTAAATCCCAACATACATCACTTTCATGTGGCGATTTTAGAGATGTAGGATGTGAACGAGCAAAGAAATAAGGCAGTAAGAGTACTCTGTTTTGGTCAAAAGCTGGCTGAATACGAGCCAGCAGTATGCCCAGGTGGCCAAGAAGGCCAACAGCACCCTGGCCCATACCAGGAACAGTGTGGTGAGTAGGACTAAGGAAGTGATCGTCCCCCTGCACTCAGCACTGGGGAGACCCCACCTTGAGTACTGTGTCCAGTTTTTGGCCCCTCACTACAAAAAAGACATTGAGATGCTGGACCGTGTCCAGAGAAGGGCAACAAAGCTAGTGAGGAATCTGGAGAACAAGTCTTATGAGGAGCAGCTGAGGGAGCTGGGGTGGTTCAGACTGAAGAAAAAGGAAGCTGAGAGGAAATGTTTTCTCTCTCTACAACTACCTGAAAGGAGGTTGTAGAGACGTGGGTTGTTGCTCTCTTCTCCCAAGTCACAGGCGATAGGACAAGAGGAAATGGCCTCAAGTTGTGCTAGGGGAGGTTGGATATTAGGAAAACTTTTTACACTGAAAGGGTTATTAAGCATTGGAACAGGTTGCCCAGGGAAGTGGTTAAGTCACCATCCCTGAAGGTATCTAAAAGACAGATAGACATAGTGCTTAGGGATATGGTTTAGGGGTGGTTTTTGTCAGTGTTAGGTTGGTGGTTGGACTAGATGATCTTAAAAGTCCCTTCCAACCTAGGCAATTCTATGATTCTATGGTTCTATACACTTGGTGATATCATGCAAAAAGAGAATGCAAATACAGACCATGACTCTGTTGACCTGTGGCACTTTTAGCCTCTGTTGAACCTCCGTGGAAAAGCATCAACACTAACCTGAAGGAGTCTACTTGTTTTTTGGCTTGGAGATAGGTAGCTAAGTGACTCAAATGCTGCAGCAAACATTCACTAAAGAATGGCAAAATAGCCTGAAGATTGGTCAAATCACACAAAGGGTAAAAGTGTAAAGGAAAGCCTAGAGAGGGGGCTGCTCAGTTGCAGTGGATAAAGGGAGCCTTTGGACCCCTATTAAAATATTGTGTCCATCTGGAGGTCTTTGCTGTAGCACACTTTGTTTTGTGTTTAATGTGATGCTAAGGCCTGCAGGAGAGAGTTCTGGTGGGACACTGGAGGACATTCTGGAGGACACATGGAGTCTTCAGTCTTTTCACTCATTCTGCTACCACTCCCTGACTTCTTCAGGATTTATGGAGAGTGGGGGTTATACCAAGTTAAGATGTAGGCCCATTCAGGGTAGGACCCATCAGTTCTTTTGAATTGCCAGAGGGTTTAGGTCACTAAGCATTTTTTACATTCCATGTTTCACAATTTTCTATGCATCCTTTTTCCTCATGGAGAATCTAGTTATACAGTGAAACTCCTCCCATCAATACTTTAGAACTATTTTATTTAGAACATTGATTTTACACTCTTTTAAAAGAGGTTTTTAAAGATTGGTCCAACTTAGAAAAAATACCTGCAAGTTAAATAGATTGTTCATGGAAATCTAGATGATCACAAATTGTGTGATAAGGTCTCTTCTTGCACTATTGTTCTGGCATACATAGTTATTCAATCAATATAGTCTTCTTCCCAAAATTTTGGAATTATAACTAAGCATTCTGCCATCTTGACTAGAAGTCAGTCTTTGTGGAGTGTACTGAGAAGATTTTAAAGGGTAGACAGTCTTCTGAAAGCTTCTAGCCCTGGGAACCAGATCAATTAAAATTCCTCAGTGATGAATGAAAGCAGTGAAATAATTTCAGTCAAAAACTTTTCCATGACCTTTTTTTTTTTTTTTAATCTAGAGTGGTTTTAGATGTAATTTTTATATGTCTGAAACACACAGAATTCAGTGAAGAAATAATGGAAGTGCTGTACAGACAGATTGAAATCACTGTTCTTTATCCGAAGATTTGGAAGGGAAAAATCAAGATGCGGCACAATAGATGAGAGTGTCAAACAAGCCAGGCCAGGGGCTGGAGGGAGGATGAAAACAGTAGTGTCACGAGCAGAAGCTGTGGTTAATGAGAAACCATGGTTACAACTTGCTAGTTCAATTTCTGCTACAGATTTTATGTGAAGACCTCAAAGACACTTTGAGCTAAACTTTCAAAAAGTTCTTGCTTACCGTGTCCAAATATTCTGCTTGTGGGAAATAGTGTTCACATAGGATTCATGAGACAGTGTATTGATTGGGGATTTTTCCTAAATCTGGCATTTCTGTAAAACTCAGTAGCTTCCTTCCAGGTAGTTCCCATTCCTATCTGTGCATATGTGATTTTGGGCTTCCAGAAGGTCCTTCATGTTAGATGTCACAGCCCTAAATCATAGAGTCATAGAATGGTTAGCGTTGTAAGGGACTTTAAAGATCATCTAGTTCCAACCCCACTGCTGTGGACAGGGACACCACCTGCTTGACCAGGTTGCTCAAAGCCCTTCCAACCTGACCTTCTTTTGCTCTTGAATGACTAATCCCTTTTCACAAAGGCAGGAGGAAGGATCCTTTAATAAAAGTAGCCATGTTGCAAGTCGATGATAGAGATTGTGCCCTTTGAAGATACTGTTTGTGGTTTAACAAAAAAATGTATTAATGACCATAGAAAGAAGTAGTAAAATCAGTCCTCCATGTTCTCAGTCTTCCAAATTTTCCATACTGCAGCAAAAATGTAGTCTCTCTTTTTCCTGTCTTTGCTACTTCCATGAATAACATAAGCAGTCATTCCTTGGGTATCAGATTAAGGCTAGGAAATGGCTAGAACAAATATGTGTGTCTGTTCCAGGTCTCAGAGCAGGGAGCTATGAAAATGACAGGGATAGATGAGTTTGAGATCAAACTTTCTGGCTAGGCAAGAGACACAAATCTTCTTCTGAACGTGGACCTCACTGGAATAAACTTGTACCGTGGCTCCTTTCCTACTACAAGACGTGACATGGCACAGAAACATAAGAACTGTACTCGTTCCAATGCTGTTCCAAAGAGTCAGGATTACTGGGCACAGGGAGACAAACATGCACAGCAGCAAATTGCTGCCTGTTCCTTGGTGAAAAACAGCAGCCAGAAGCAGATGTGTGTTGCCAAAACAGCTCATGCCACCTATGCCCAATACTCTCTGTCCCACTGCTGCTTCCTTGGAGTGTCCAGAGAGTGGCTACAGAGCAGAAGATTTGTTCTGGTTTGTCAGCCTGCTCCCAGTTTTTCTCTGCTTGTGCTATCTGTTGGGAGAGGGACCTCAAAGCCCTCAGGAGATGTGGGGCTGGGAGTGAGCCACGGGTAAGGCAAGTTTTCCTGGCAGACAGGGAACCAGCTCTGTTGTAGTGATCTCTGCTACAGCTGGTAATAGATACGATAGACTGCTTGGTTTACAGCTGGCTTCATGTGGTCACCACCAGAGGAAACTGTATGAGAAGAATCAGGTCATGAAGGCTGGTACAGCTGGCTTCATGTGGTCACCACCAGAGAAAACTGTGTAAGAAGAATCAGGTCATGAAGTCTGGGGAGTGGCTTTATTTAAAAAAAAAAAAAAGAAAGAAAGATTAGTCTCTGTCACATTTGGAAACAGACCTTGATACCTGTCAACAAGAGTACAGTGATATACTTGATGGTGAAGACAGTGTCTGTCCTGGAGAGCACCAGACAGACTCCAGGTGATGAAAACTAAAGGAAAAAAAAAGCAAGTGGCTTAGATTTGACACCATCAGGGTGTTGCTTGAAGATTTTGGTCCATTACAAAGCTTGACACCATCAGGGTGTTGCTTGAAGATTTCGGTCCATTACAAAGCTTATTATTTTTTAGCAATTGAAGGCAAGTTTTTGTACGTGCATTCAGTTTTATCAACATACTTATCAACATATTCAGGCATTTTTTTTCCTTTAATGTAATTGCATGCAGGTTCCATTTGCCAGTGATTTGATTGGATGTCTCTCTATTCTTTTTGGTTTCTGTAGGATAAAATCATGGGTAGACAAGATGCAAGAAGATCTCGTAACATTAGCACGAACTGCGAGCGGAGTGGACCAGCTTGCTGCGGTGAGTAAGAAGACACACCTTAGACTGCAATAACTAGAAATTAAAATGAATAGTGTGCATCATCTAGGTGTTACAGTCGTTTCATCCCAATGTGCTAAAAAGATTTTGGGGAATTAAGCACTGCAGAGAAATAGATAACACAGGCATCCGTCAATTCACTCTCTTAATATTGCAGCACTCGTTCATTGCTAATATTTAATCAGATTTGCAGTATCAGACATAAGGCTTACCATTGTTGCAACACTTCCACCTGAAGCAAGTGCTTTTATCCTATATGTTTGTCAAATATGGTATCCAGGAAGCAACCATTCACGGCAGTGGAAAATTCTGCTCTCTATTAACAAAAGAGACTATTTTTCTGACACATTTCCTGAAATGAGACAGCTTTTTGTTAGAAAAAACGTAGATGAGAACCTCTCTATTAACAAAAGAGACTATTTTTCTGGCACATATTTCCTGAAATGAGACAGCTTTTCATTAGAAAAAACGTAGATGAGAATGAAAAGTGCTTTTATTCAGATGTTCAAGTTTAACCCAAAGTGTGTTTTGAGAAAGAATTTACAATTCTTCTGTCACTGAGAAGAAACTTCTGTGCTATTTTCCATTCATAAAAGGTAAAAACACAACTGAGATTACAGACAAATGAAGTCACAATTCAGAAAAAGTAAGGATTACATTGCCTATACAACCTGCTGTGTATACATCATGATCCAGTATGTAACCACATGATCATACGTTTCCCCCTCCCCATCCCTGCACGAATCCCGTCGCTCCTTTTGTGAACTGATGAATCTCTGCGTTGATGTAGAATGAAGGGAAATTCTGCTGTTACGTCTGGAAAAAGAAGTTATTCTGTCAGCCAGCAAAAGCCCTTGGTGCTGGGGAGTTGAACGTTAAGCTCTAAGATGTGGTTCTCAGAAGTCCTAATCTCCCCAAATGATCCATGAAATGAATAGTAGCTGTGTTTCAAAGCTTTAAGAAACACAAAGAAAACTCAGATGTGAAGTTGCTCAGATTTAACACTGTATGTTAATGTATTACTTTGTCCTTAGTAACTTTTTACCCAAACATCCACGTCTTGTGTATCCTGCCCCAGAAGGACATTTTCTCTTTACCAACTATAAAATGAGGCTACATGATTAGCTCAGATGTCCACGTTTACATTTTGGAAGCTTCAGTTTAGATGAGATCACCACTGTCCTATAGAAGGAAGGGCTGTGTCACTGCATGTATCTGAGGAACATAAATGAGGATTGCAGAGACTATTTTAGTTCTGGCCTTTCCTAATATTTTAGTGCTTCATATGGCAGCACAATTTAAGGCAGATGCTTTAGATGCACTTTTAAATCTTGGAAAACCCCAAACTGAAAAAAAAATCTTGAAATCCTAACACAAAGCATTAGATTGATACACACATGGGTTTCCAGCATCGGATCTCCACAACACAGAAGTATCTATCACTTGAGCTTTCTGAGGAACTGTAAGGCTTACCCAGCATGGAACACTGATGGAAGCTTTTGTAGGTGGATTTCATACATATCTGCTGACAGAGACAGCAAGGCTTTTGCAATCACATCTCTCTCTCTCCAGATTTTGGTGAGGAGTTCCTGCTAAGAGGAGGGAGGACCCGTTTTCTCATCTGGGTTATGTGTGATCTGTCCTCATCTGCATTTGTAGTGTCTCTTTTTCCTTAGCATATCCTCGTTCAGCATCGTATCTCCGATCCACAACTGGACTTTCCATTCCACTCCTGAGGTTCTGTGTGAGCTATCTTTCCTGTCTGCTCAACATATTCTATGCTTCTGTCTCAGTTTCTACTGTTGCTGCCCAGCCAGTCTTCCTTTCTCCCTTACATTGACCTCTTATCCCTATTTTAGGATCTCTCTCCTCAGCATTTTCCAGTGCAGCACCTCTCTCTGAACTCTTTATTTTGCCTTAGCATTTCCGAAACATTCTGTCCAGGTGTGTGTCCAGCCTGTCCCCAATACTCCTATTGCATCTTTTCTCTTCCACAGGTATTTTCCTTCCCAGTTCTCACATTTCCCTCCATTACTAGTTCTCAATCCCAGAACTGTAGTTTTCTCCTCTATGCTTTTTCTATTTCTCCTTCCCTTCCAGTCTCTTCTCTCCTTACTCTTTGCCTGTCATTTTTCAATCTGTTATCTCCACTTCCATATGCCAATCTCACACTCTTTGTTCTTCATTAAGTTTTCATCTCCTTTTTCTCCCACTGCTTAGAGTACAAAGGTGTAGAGGTCACCTGAGAGACGACAGTGAGTCTGTGCTTTAGATGCAGAGGTGTGACTTTCTCTAGGAGCGATGCTCTCTAGGTTGGAATACACCTCTGAGTAGGTTCTCAGAGTTCTAGCTGATGAAAACTCTGCAGTCACCTGCAGGTGCTTTCAGGTTGAAAATTGTTGAACACCATGGAGTAAAAGTGTGTCTTTGAACACATGTTGAATTTTTAATATACAGCACAGGGGCAGTAGGATATTTCAAAGGGAAATGAGTTACAGAGGATTCGGACTTGAGCAAGACAATGAGTTAATGTTTCAACCATTTCGCCTGGCGTTTTCATGCAAAGACCACATAGTAAAATAGATAACGAAAAGCCAAGAGATTGACACTGTCACTCTTTTTTTCCCTAAGGAAAATGTTAGTTTAGTTAATATTCAGCAAACTTACAAGCTGCTAAAACAGTCTTATAATGAGAACTGCTGGGCAAACATTAGAATATGTAATGCTACCAGCTATACTTAAAGTATACCACAGTGAAGAATATTCACACTGAAGAAAAACATTAGTCTGTGAATACTGTGAGTAAGATACTTTTTGAAAGCCAAAATTTAGAGCATACTTTAAGCAAATAATATGTTATCTCAGAGGGTATCCAGAAGGTGGTCAATATGTGCTTGTAATCCTAGGATTAAAAGCATGAAAGGGATATGTTTCCATGTAAAACATCCCTCCATATCAAAGCGGTTTTTTTTGACCTAATTGCATGATGTCTTTCTCTAACCACAAGGTTTTAATTAGCTGTCTTCCCTGCAAGGGAGAATGCAAAACCCTGCGAGGTGTGAGCCATGAAGTCTCTCCCTCTTTTTTCTTGTTTACAGGCTATTGTCACTTTCCCATTTTTGAATAGCAACCTTTTTTTTTCTGCTTGCTGCCTATTAACAGTTAGTCAGATCTCTTCTAAAATGAACCACAGTTTTGGAAAATGGAGATTACAAGACATTAAAAACAGCATGCTTGCACGCCTGTCACTTTTGTTTACAGAACTTGCCTTTGGTTGCTCAAGCTTGAAAAATACTTAACAATCAGAATGAATTTTCAGCTTTGTTTCGGATTATTGCTACTTCTAACTACAGAATTGTTTAGGCCAAGTCTTGTAGTGTTTATGTTTTTGGAAAACTTAAAAAAAAATAAATTGATAGTTTTTCTTTCTGTCCCTCCTCCCTCCAAAATCAAAATGATTAATATAAGAAGAAGGAGCAGAGCTCTCCTATAATAAAACAGTAGACGTGACTTTCTGTGAACAGCTGTAGCACCAGAGTGTCTAGGGTTGGAAAGTCGTACTTTGGCCAGACAGATTTTTGGTAGAAGAAATGTCTTTACTTGTTCTAGGGAAAATAAATTTTAATTTGGCCAAGTTATGAGGTTAAAGCTCATAGCGAGAATGTATAACAGGTAATAGCCTTTAAACAGCCTGGTCAGCCTCTCCCTGGACTCAGGGAAAGAAGTCCCACTGATTCATCTGAGGTTACAATCTGTATCTGCTTCATACAGTTGAGTCTTCAATGAAGAACTCTAAAAGTAGCACAATTACTATGTTCTCAGCTGGAGTGAAGTAGTTCTTCAAAAACCAGGGCTTTTTGAATGAGCTGCTGTGCCATGCAAGTTTATGGTGTTTCCATAGCATGTTCAAGATGTCTCAGGGTTCATCAGTGTGCATTCTTGAATATGCATTAGATGTTTCTGGGTCTTCTGCTTGAATATGCATTGGATGTCTCTGGGTCTTCTTGCTGCAGAAAATTATACTGCACAATAGTCTCTTCTGGAGAACTGTGAAATATTTTCTTCTGGTCATCATGGAGAGGCATAGAAGTACTACCTGAACTCTCAATTAATTTGATTTTAGCCTGGAAAATCTTTTGACCAGAAAGAAAGTAGAACAAAGCTTAATATGTACTTCTAAAGGAATAAAAAAATCAAATGTAAATCACCATTAAACATAAGTGTGGGACTTGTTAGGTGAATCGTGGACCTTTTGAGATCAGTACCGACCTATAAGTCTGATTTATTCCGCAATGTGGATGTAGATAAACAAGTAGAGTGTGTTTTTTACTCAAGGTGCTTACATTCAACGTGTACTCAACTTAATGGAATCATGTTTAAGGAGAGGAATCTCCTCAGAGGAGAATTCCCTTTTCTTTGTTTATTGACAAATTTCTTACAGTAACTTGAAATCACAATCTTGTCCTAGTGACTAAACACTCTTTCTCTTGCTTTTGCACATGTAATAGAGCCATTGTAAACCACTGCAACTTTCATTAATCACAGCGAGGATTCATGATACTCTACTCATGAATATTCCACATAGTGTTAAAAACCAGAAAATATATGGTGGTTGTAACCCAAGCACAGGACCCTGCGCTTAGCCTTGTTGAACATTATACCAATGGCCATGGCCCATCGATCCAGCCTGCCCAGATCCCTCTGCAGAGCCTTCCTACCCTCGAGCTGGTCGACACTCCCACCCAAGTTGGTGGTGTCTGCAAACTTACTGAGGGTGCCCTCAATCCCGTCATCCAAATCATTGATAAAGACATTAAACAGAACGGGTCCCAGTACTGAGCCCTGGGGAACACAGCTTGTGACCGGCCGCCAACTGGATTTAACTCCATTCACCACCACTCTCTGGGCCCAGCCACCCAGCCAGGTGTTAACCCAGCGAAGCATACATGCATCCCAGCCATGAGCAGCCAGTGTCTCCAGCA